TTATTCAAAAGTTAGGCAAATAGAGATAAAACTATTCTGGAGCACTTTCCAAGCATTTAACAGAGAAAAGTAAATAACAGAAAAAAGGAGACTCTCATTTTAGAAAGTCACTAATCATCCTGCCTGAAATTCAATAAATAAATAAGTAAAAAGGTTTGTAGTCAGAGCAAGGATCCAAATAACCGAACTAATTTAAATATGAAGTGTGTTTAGAAATGCAGGGTCTGAAGGCAGAAAAGAATGAAAGAGATAAAGAGGAAAAGAAGAAATAAACAAAGAGTGAAGGAGGAGACAGAGGAGGAGAGGCCTTGCCAGGAGTCTTGGGCTTTTGGCTGCCTTTGTTATCAGTTTGCACAGAAATGTCAGAGCGCTGTGACATTCTTCCCTACAGCTTCCCCTGCTGCCCAGCCACCACTCACCACAGAGTAACACACACCACGCTGCTGCAGATAACATGCACACACACACACACACATGTGCCATGGAATGCTTCAAGAGTTGCTTTATTTATTTACTCTAAGGTTTTCTGTGAGAAAAAAAAAACAGTTCAGGAAGTCTGCAGGGAAAACAAAAAGTTTTTTTGGGAATACAGAGAATATATTTTCAAATTAAGACTGAGATAATAGACCCTCAGGCTAAGTTAAAAGATAAACCGTTTTAAGATATTCTGCTGAACTCTAAGTGTACCTCTCCACCTGTACCTGTCTTCCACTAAGGGGATAATTTATTAATAACTTCTTCTCTCTATAAAGGTGAAAAGCAGCTGTTCTCCCATTTTTACATCTAATCTCTAAGAAAAGTCTGGACTCCTTTCACCTGCAGTAAACACATCTAAAGTTAGTTAAAATAGTAAAGCATAATTTATTGTGATGTTTTTAGAAAGCACTTCACTCACCAGGTTCTGACATTTGAACTTTGATCCCAATAATTAAAATATCCCTTCAGAATAAGAACACAAACATTATCAGTGATCAGTGTTTTACTTTTTGATCCTTAAGCTATCATATAAAACAGGGATGGGCAATTCCACTCCTCAGTGGCCAGTGTCCTGACATGATAACAAGGATCCTGGAGAACCTACACATCAAGGATAGGCACCTACAATGATCAGTTTCTCTACGTTTTTCCAAAGAACCCATATTCGTTATATTCAGAGGAGTCAATTAACAATGTACGAATACTTAATTATCTAACTTAAGTAGAAATGTTGGCTATCAATACTTTACTGGAGTAATTATTTTTTAGACAACTTTTTACTTCTACTCCTGTTTTAGCAATTATCTCTACTGTCTACTCCTTAAATTTTAAAAATAAACAATTTTTTTTTCTTTTAAGCTGATTTTTGTTATTGCCTGTACTTAAAAAAATTAAAAACCAACAAATAAATGTATTTCTTCCAGAAAATGTATTTCTGGTTGGACTATGAACATCACCAAATAGTTGTCGCCACATACCGAAATAAATAGTTTTTCAAGATAATGCAAAGTTAAATTTGACACTGTTGCCATTATTTATCAAACAAACAAAAAAATAAGTATAAGGAAGTTATCATCCAGAATTGTAGGAAAATTGTTCCGTTCATTAGTTAGTGCAGTATAAGGTTTAATGCTTCAATCCTTTAACACTTTTTACTGCATTACTTTTTATTTGTGTTTAGCGATCTTAAAAAAAATGCACTTTTACAGTATTACTTAAGCAAAAAAATTATACTCTAACTTCTACACAAGTGTTTTTTTAAACAGATTTATACTTCTACTTGAGTAATAAACATTAATACTTTTGACACCTCTGGTTTGATGGCCATGCTGTTGGTTCCCAACCTCAGCTTTGAGAACCCATAAAGAATAAAATAAAGAAATACCAGAAATCTACAGCAAATCTTTGGCAATGACCTTGGCATTAGTCTTTAACATGGGGGCTCTGACCCTCCTTGTGGGTCACAAAGGTACTGCAGGGGGTTGTAATAATTTGTTTTTTGGAAAAAAAAAGATTTTTTACCAATTTGTATCATTTATAAATAATCATTGTGGAGTCTTTGCTGACTTATTTAAATTCAACTTAGTTTAATTATGTGGCATCAGTAGATGTGGCATCATGTTACTGACTGCAACAAACCCTCACACTGAGCATGCATGCAGCTACAGTTGAGAGAAAAAACTCCCTTTTAACAGAGAGAAACCTCCAGGAGAACCAGGTTCAGTGAGCTGAAATCTACAGAGCACAACTGGGGGTTTATTCAATGTTTTATCAGTGAGAACTTACTGTATAGTTGAAACACTAGCAGAGCTAAAAAGAGCTATAGGGACCTGGCTTATATCATATTGCAGGGGTTGCCATATATTTCAACCTGTGACCCCATAAATATCTCAGAATCAGAGCATGGTTAATACTGCCAATAAAGTCATTAGAATGTGTACAAATATCTGAGACACAAAAACAAAAGGTCTAGAAGAGCAGTAATCAAGTCAGACCATCCACCATCCAAAGACTGGGCTGGTTCTGAGAACTCAGTCGGGTCCGTTTCTTGTTGAGAATGTTTGTCAAGCTTTAACATCTTAAGCTTCTTACTTGGAAAATAGATTCTCAACACATAAATCACACCAATCAGAAGTAAGCTATTGTTAAGAGGGACTTTTACAGCCACAGAGCTTAAAGGACAATGAATTGAGCCAATCAGAATGAAATCTTTTTTTTAATGACAAAAAAGTTTAAATAAGAACTAAAAAGCCCCCTGTTCAGGGTTGATTCAAAGGTTTAAGCAATTATAAAACCTGAAGTAAGCCTTTATAATATGCTGAAAATTTAAGTTGTATCCTGTCTTAATGTCTGATTCTTTACCTCTTTATTATTTTACATAATTTGTATAACCGGCACAGGGTCAATGTGTGAAGCTACAAGCTTGAAGCTAACTTAGTGTGTTTATGGGCCTATATGTGCAGAGATCTTTTGCGCCTCTCTTCAGAGATCTCTTGTATCTTTGGATTTTTGCTGCTCATATGGGTTTTTAGATTTTTTATTTTTTTATTTTGTGGTAGTGACGTTAAGGTGAACCTGGAAAGAAGCAATTTGGTGCTATAGTGCGTCTGTTTGTAATTAATCCTTTTATTTGACATTAATGCAGGTAAACTGCAGGAATCTCTCAAGAAACATGATTCTAAAACATTTTAAATGAGGAAATAATTAGGAATTCAAAGGCAGGATAATTCTTTTCTAGGTGAAAAATAGGTGCACACAGTATAAAATATGATTTAAAATAATTTAATCCTCAGCAGCATGTAGTGTAACGATGACAGTTGGAAGCAATGCATGAGCAAGAAGAATACTTTTTAGCAGGTGGCAAGATAAATTACCACTGTCTCTCCTCTAAAGGCAGCGCGGTTTGTCTTCATTGGTTACAGTCGATCACAAGAAAAAAATAATCCCCGCTAAAAAGACCAATTTTCGTGTCAAGTCAAATGAAACATAAAGACTCAAGCATGAATAGGAGATCATTCAGCAGCCAAATGTAAACTGGCACTGCATTGCAAAAAGCAGGTTGAGCAAAAGGGGAAAAAAACCCAGAAAGCTTTCACCCAAGCATCATGTCAAACACAACAACCCATTGTGAGCTGGAGGGATCTCCAAATCACAGCTGCATGGACGCTGGAAAAAAGGAGCTAAATTGTAATTTTCACAGCCTTAAAGAACACACATAATCACAGCCAGCAGCTCAGAAACATTCTGGCTACACTGATTTATGCATAGCTTATTAAAGGTGTTGGCAAAAAAAAAATGTTCAGCCAAAAGACTAAATAAAAAAGTCTAAGTTAGACGGGAGAAAAGGAAACTAAGAGGACTGACAACAAGTGTCTCATGTAAACCCCCAACCCTAGGTCACAGGCTTAAAGGTAAATTAAACTTCAAGAAGGACTTGAAAAATGATGATCCTCTGATAATACTTAAGGTTACAAAACCATCAAGGCCCAACAGAACCAAAGGATCTGAGCATGTTATTGTGAGCGAATTATATTAAGTGTGTGTTTGCTTATGCTTTTGATCAAAGGTTGAAAATTTGAAAGTTATTTGACTAAAAAACTCATTACAATTTCATCCTGAGCTAAAGAGAAATAATAAACTGATTTAAAATCCAAAGGGAAAGTTGGTGAAAGACAGTAAGAACTCAAAAGGTACAAACTGTTTAGTTTTACAGACATTTTTTAATCAACTCAAGTGACTCCAGAAATCAACTAAAGGCATTATGTTTTGTAATTCTTGGAGACAGATTTTTTAATTCCTTCAAAATTTACTGTATTCAGGAAAATGCTGTTTCAGACAATTAAACATGAGCTTCATCAATAGGATGTAGATGAGTTTGAGTTATTCATGTCTCTTACACTGAATCAAATCAGAAAATAGCGAGAAAACTTTATTAAATTTAGAGGTGTTACAAGATTATCCTTTAACTTTATAGTAAAAAAAACAAAATTGGAATTAATGTGAATGAAACTGATTCTATCCACATTATTGGATTACTCTAATTATATTATATTGAATTTGGTCTATTTGCTTGTAAAGCGCCTTGAGCAGGTATTGCTGATGTAAATTGGTAAAGTGGAGAAAGCTCAGTGCAGGCTCTGTGTGTTTTCTATTACAACATAGTGAAAACTGTGTTTTCTAGTGTTAAAGAAAATTGTTTTATGTTTTTACTGCAAATTGTTCTTTATGAGAAAAAGGAAAATGTTCCATAAAATGTCCTGAGATTCTATTCTTAAGAACTAATCAAAATGAAAATCAAATTTAATACTGCAAGTGTAAACCCTAAAGATGCCTGTAAAATAATAAGAAACTACATTCAGATGTTTGATTAAATGGAACTACGGTTTCAAACAACAGCACCCCCCCATCCTCATCTCCTCTTCTGACCGGAGGACATCTCTAAGTATATGAGATATGGCTGTCCAGCTAAATCCAATAAAAGCTCAATTCTCTCCACAGAGCCTCAATATAACAATTTCACCTACCTGTAGGGGATCCCTCAAGCACCTCTCCGGTATAACGGGATTCTTTGAAGATGGGCCGGTTGTCATTTTGGTCAATCACAGTGATCACAAGTATGGCGGGTCCCTCGATGACATTCCCAGAAAAGTCTGTGGTTGATACCTCCAGCTGTGTGGATAAAACGGTAGATGGGTTTTACTGTTTAAAAGCAAAATAAAATGTTTTTACTGTGATATCTTGAATTCCCAGTGATATCCAAAGAAATTGAGGCCAATTTAAAGGATGTGCCTCTGAAAATACAACCAAAACGACTTCCCACACATCCACACATAATGGTGCTGAAGAGTTTTACAGTTTAAAAATAGCATGAAGTTCAATTTACAGTTGCTTGCTGTGGCAATGATAGTGATGGCTGCTTGATGGAGAGTAAATATTAACAGAAACATCAAACACAGCTGCGTTTGTTCAATCTTAGGTGCCAAAAGTTGATGGACACTGTAAATAACAACCATATTTTTTAGGCTCCAGAGAAAATAAAAACGTGCTTTTGTTTTATAGCTCTTCATTTTTATGATGTGTTGAATATTTGTTGGGTAAAAGGCTAACATAAAAATAAGTATCCGAGAAAGGTTTGCACACAGAACATCTTAGAAGCTTCTAATGGCTTCTGAATATTTTTTTTAACTCTATGTATTCAGTAAATGTATGTCAGATGGTTTATCTCATTTAACTGGCCCTGCTTCAACTTTGGATGGACCACACCGCCACAACTCTAAAAAGCTAAAAAAAAATGCCAGTGCAGGACCACCTATGGATCGTTGGGGTTCCTTTGGTTAGAACCAAGGAATCAGAGAGAGACCCCCATCCACCCTCCGAAACTATAGACAATCAGTATTAATACTAGAGAGGTACCAGTCCATTTTTTTTTAAATCAATCGAATAGCCTGAGCATACCAGGCAATATCTGATACCGATTCAACTAGGGCTGCAACAACGAATCGATACAATCGATAATAATCGACTTTTAAAAGCGTTGGCAACGAATTTCATCATCGATTAGTTGTGTCACGCGATTAATGCGTCATCTGCCGCTGCCGTCATCACATCCACTTGACTGAAACGGGGGAAGAAAAAAAAATACGGCAGAGCGAGTCAGCGCCGCAGGTGCAGTGTTGCCAACTCAGCGACTTTTCAGACCCCTCGACTGACCCGCGACTATTTTTCAAAAAAGCGACTAGCGACAAATCTGGCGACTTTTTACGGTGTCACTGGCGGCTTTTGGAGACTCTTACGTGAAAGCATGTATCGTTCCTACTCTGCCGTGGGGCGCCTCCCCCATCCCAACCCTGTTCTCCCGCTCCCGCAGGATTCCCTCTCAGCGCTGCAGTCAGAGCAGCAGGATGTTTACCCTCAGCGTCCAGACTGCAAATGAAGCGCGCATGCGCCGGGATTGACGGCGCAAATTGATCACAATAATTAAAAGCGCCTGCGCTTTGTAAAGTGAAAAAAGTCGTAACATGCAACTTTTGTCAAAACAAATTAACATGGCACGGAACCACCATGTTTGTTTTGTTTTAAATTGGGGAAACGTAACGTTAGTTTCTCAGGTAGCTCATCTGATGCTTTCCTTACCGTGTTAGTAGGTTACAGACAGTGATAAGGTTGGCTACTTATTTTACTTTTAATTTCATTTGAATTAGCTTAAGCAGCGTTTATATTTTCTTTATGAATAAATTAACATGCAAATTATGAGGGCAAGGCTTTTAAAGTTTAAATCTTCTGGCAAAGATAAAGTAAAGAAGATCCTGCAATTTATGGAAGTAAAGCAGAATAAAATCCAGCAAGATCAGTAATATGTCAATTAATTATATGCCACATTCCCATGTAAATATCTGTCTTTGAAGGAGGTGTTTTTTAGCACCCCTAGTTCTCTCATTTTTATTCCAAATACCGTTTATAATTTGAATCACAGGGCTATTTTTATCTCTATGGTTAAGTATTTTCTCAAGTAGCAACTTTAACTGCTATACTTTCCTGTCTTAAAAGGCAGAACTCTTCTAGTCTAAAAAAACTCATTTGTTGAAATGGGGGGGCCTATTGTTTGAACCCCTTTAAAAAACAAAAATGTCTTTTTTTGCACTTTATGAAACAGTACCCTATATTTTGTGGATGTACAGCTACATTTCTCATGTAAGTTTGAGAAGTTTTAACACAAACATTTATTTTTCAGATTGCACCAGGACAGTTAATGAGCAACCTGTACTTGTGTGTTTGTTCTGTCTAAAATGTTTATTTTGGAATAAAGAGGTTAATATAAAAAATATTTTTTGTCCGATTCATCGATTAATCGAAAAAATAATCATCCGATTCATCGATTTTTAAAATAATCGTTAGTTGCAGCCCTAGATTCAACATTAGAACAGATAACCCATATATCTTGAAATGTGAGTGAAGCTTTAGCCTTGACATAAACAAAGGTAACACATTTACAGAAATATGAACTGGAATGGAGTGGAATGAACTGGATCTCCAATCATGGATATCCAATCAAGGTAATTAGTTAATATCGGAGCTGATATCCGATCTATGTGTCAGATTGGTGCGTCTCTAATTAAAACTAGAGTGATGTGTGAACTTCACAAGACAATATATACAATACCATGGCCAGTTATATAGAATCCAGCTTAAACCTATTTTTTTTCAAACCAACCTAATTCATTTTACTGAGATAAATTATATACTCTAGATGATAGGTGTCAAACTGGTTCCAGAAAGGCCCGCATGACTGCTGGTTTTCTTTCTAATGTAGCAGTAGCACACCAGACTCCATTCATCTCATCCATCATCGGGTTAAGACTGGAGTCTGGTGAGCTACTGTTTGGTTGGAAAGAAAACCAGCTGCCACATGACCTTTCTGGAACCAGTTTGACACCCCTGCCCTAGACATAGATCCAATTACTTGCAGAAAAACCTAAATCTAAATGTAAGAGAACTCAGTTAAAATCATCGATTCATTATCTGTTGATTATAATCACAGAGGGGCGGTGCTAACAGTATCACCAGCAGTCTACGGGTAAAGGCAAGGTACATCCTGGACAGAGTGCCGGTCAATCGCTGTTGAAATCACTTGATCCTAAAATTCTAAGAAATAATATGTTTTCTGAGAAAGCCCAGATCCTTATATTAACTTTTTAAATTAGCAATGGACCCTCATGAGCAAGCTGGCAAGCACAAAGAAAACACAATGTTGATTCTATAACTATTCTGCTTTATGGAACAAACTTTTAATATAACAGAGAAAAAACTAAATTCAAATTTTTCTACCTGCCCTACCTTATCAACTGTTTCACAGAAGGATCTTCTGTTGGCCTTCATCACAAATTAATGTATTCAGTCTCGCCATTGATGCAGTATTTCTAGTCAATCTCCTGTTTTACCTTAGGGACCACGCCAGCTTAGCAGAGCGAAGAGAAAGCATGCACAATACCCATTTAACAAACAAGCAGCTATTAACCCAGAGGGAAACAACCTTGCCCTGTTTAGTCAGCAAACCTATTTCCCTGTTTTATTAAAATCTTTCTTTTTCTACAGAACAGCAGGAACATTGGGTTCAAAGACACAGTGTAAGTTACTGTATGTTTCTAACATTATTCCTTGACATCAATTTAATCCATGAAGGTAAAATTAAGCAGTTCCAGTCTACCCAGTCCTGTCCTGTCTAATTCACATAATGCATCTGCTCTCAGAAGAAATGAGCAAAACATTTTCCATGGTTCACTGCATCTTTAAACACTACAGTACACATGCTCTTCCTGTAACTCTATCTAATGCGTTGCATGCAAATTGTTTAAGGTTAAAAAAAACATAATTTAACAATAGCGTTACGGACAATGACTACATTTATTCAGATGGTGTGGATGTGTTCTATGACCAGATTGAAAGAAAAGATATTAGGACTGAAGAGCGTCTTTAGTCAACCCCTATTTTCTACCCAGCTATATTGGTCTATAAATTCAGATGAGGCACAACACATTACATAGATTGCAGGTATATCTTGAAGATATAAAAACCTGGATAACTCTTAACTTTCTTTTCCTGAATGCAGACAAAACAGAAGTTATACTCTTTGGGCCAGAGTCCAAAAAAAAAGTCCAAAAGAAGCTGATTAGTCAGTCACTTAATTTGGATGGGATTAAACTGATCTCAGATAATAAAAAAAAAAATCTTGGTGTTACTTTTGTTCAGATCCTGTCATTTAAATCCCATATCAAAGAGGTCTCTAGAATTTCCTTCCTCTGTGGAATAACGCAGAAATTAGAAATATCCTGTCCAGGTGTGATGCTAAGAAACTAGTCCATGCATTTGTTACTTCAAGGCTGGACTATTGTAATTCTTTGCTATCAGCAAGTCTACAAACTGTAGCTAAAAGCCTTTAGCTGATCCAAAATGCTGCAGCCAGAGTGCTCATGAAAATTAAAAAGAGAGTCATATCTCTCCTATCCTGGTTTCTCCTTTTTGGCTTCCTGATAAGTCCAAAATAAAATTTAAAATCCTCCTTCTCACATGTAAAGCCTTAAATGGCCAAGCTCCATCTTATATCAGAGATATGATTGTTTCTTACGTTCCTAACATAGCCCTTCGTTCGCTCTCAAACTGCAGGTTCTGAAGATCTTTTAGTTATCAGGCTCCTCTCCTGTTGAACCAACTACCAATTTTAGTCCGTGACTCCCTGTCTACTATTAAGGATAGGCTTAAAACTTTCCTTTTTGATAAAGCCTTCTAGTTAGAGTTACTCATTTTATCCTGAGCTATCTCTATAGTTGTGCTGCTATAGGCTTAGACTTCTGGAGGACATAGGGACCCCCATTTCATCATTCTGCTTCATTCTATCTCTATTCTCCCACTCTGCAGAATTTGTTACTTCAATCTCTAACATTATGCTCTTTTTGCTTTTTCTCATAGTAGCTTTGCCTCATCTGTTCCTGTTTGGCTGTGACACCGTCCTGGAGAGAAATATCAGCTTTGCTGCTGCCATCAACACCTTTGTATATAGATGTTGCCTTTTTTTTTAGTGTAGTCCTGTTTCTCTGATTGTGACTGGTTGGATGTGCTCTCTTTATCCTCTGACATGGGAGCTGATTTGGAGCTTGTCTGCCTGGCTGTGTGCT